ATTTGCATGGATGCTGGCAAAAGCAAAAAAGTTCGATCGGCGCGAGAAAGCTTGCCACCATCATTCACTTGAGATCCGTGCAAGCGCGGAGTCTTCCAAGCAATTATCAAGCGCGATCATCAATCTTGCGATCAGCAAAAACACAAACAAAAAGCCCTAAGAGGGGCCTGCTACCAGGGTAAGTCCGACTACAGTATCAGGCGAGTCTGACGGTGTGATCGCGTGCGCACTGTACGCGATATTTCTCGCCCCAACGTCCATACCGACATCCAACGGACATGGGCAAGCATCACGCAGTAATGAATGTGGCTCGTCTTGCGGTATCGGCGTGGTGGATTTTGCAATCGCTCGTGCGTTCTCGACGCAGCAGCTTCAATGAGCACAGCGATCTCGCCCAATTTTTCGCTCACAAACGCGTGCAACGGCCACATCGTCGCTAGTGATTGCAGCCGCTGATAGGCGCAATGGTTGTTCGTTTCGATTGGCGCGGGGTGCAAGCTTAGATTCCGATGTTGCTGGATCCTCAAAAAAGACTTCGAACTTCGAGCGTCCCAGTACAATGGTGACATCTCGCCACTGAAAAGAGTGGGATGACCCAGAGACGGTTCTTGCGATGGCGCAATACTTCGGGCCAAGAGAACTGCAACTCTCGACCCTGTACACGGCCATCGTTTGAATTGGTATGCGACGACAAGCAGCGACGGCGGCTTGGTGACGAGTGCGACCAGTCATCCGGCGTCCCATGGCTAATCATAACCAAATACACCGCAAATCTTTCTCCTCCGGTGCTTGGCTGGACGTTGTGTGTGGAAGGAAGTACTAGTTGATTACGGAGCACCGAAGTGGGGATATCGGGCTTCTTGAATACTGTAGTAAACGAATCCAGCTGCTGCCAAGGGTCGTTGCATACAAAAAACAAGTCGTTTTCGTGCAGGATCGCGGACGTAGTTTAATTAAATGAACAATATATTTTCCGTGTCACAGTCCGTGATCACATGCAACGACCCTGCAGTTTTCATTTTTGCATTATTTTAATTCAACCGTAGCACATCACGATCCATGTTTCCCATGTTCTTCCCAACGTCCCTATCATTTCTTGCGAGTTGCTGCATCCCAACCGCAAAAGACCAACGCGATTTCCGGTCAATGCATTGTACCTCCTGCCCTCTCAGCACCCTGCCGTGATAGAGTTCGGCTATCGTAGCACTGAACCGAGTGCTCTCCCACCAACCAAATAGCGATCAGCTGCGAGAAATTATGATAGTGATTGCAACCGTGCGCCCGTGGCCACGGTGCAACGTTGAAAGGCCGAGGTTCTCACGCCCAATGGCAGATTGTTGGCACAGATTGGGCCCAGTCCTGCCGATTTGGGCAAGGAGGCGCCTTTGATCCACGGCAAGGCATCCTTTGGATTGTTGCTCCCACGCGTTCCTAAGCTCACAACCGTTGCACGGTCGTGGGAGGGAATTTCACAACTTGATACCTGAAGGCACGCACGTCGCGCAGTAGCCACGATAAAAAGCGCCACCAACCAAGGCCAAAGCAACCCCGCGCAGAATTCGGCACCACTCCAAAATCCTTCGGCGCTTGGACATCTCTTGAGAAACACGTGGCGCTAAAAATATACAACGTAATAAAATATAAAAAGAATAATAAAATACACACACGATGGCGCACGTCTGGCAATGTCATTTTCGGATTTCCAGCGCGTTGCTACAACTGCAATCTCGGCATCATCATGGGTACCCCAAAGCGCAAGCGTGACGAGCAGGTGCCGCGCCGCTTCTCGACGTTTGTCGAGGCGGCGACGCTCTTCCACGGCATGACGTCGGCGTCGTTTACAACGTTTCCAAAGTTTTATACGATTCCCAACGAGCACCCGTGGCCGGGGCACCTCCGGGGCACAAAGCTCAATACGGCCCAAGTACGCACGCACTACAAGAACGGAACGCTGCATCCCGAGACGATTGCGGCGCTCACTGCCATCAACTTTGTCTTTGACGTCAACGAGCTCAAGTGGGAGCTCAAGCTCATCGCACTCGAGACGTACAAGGGCCTCCACGGCGACCTCTGTATTCCGCAGGACTTTCGCGTTCCGTTCGATGACGCGTCGTGGCCATGCGACCTGTGGGGCATGCGCCTCGGCCTCGCTGTGCGCAGCATCCGCCAAAAGACCGACGTGCAGTCGCCGCGCTATGCGCAGCTCTCGGCCATGGGCTTTGTCTGGAATGTGCTCGAGCTCAGCTGGGACACAAAGCTCCTCGCATTGCGCACGTACAAGGCACTCCGCGGTGACCTCCTCGTCGCGTACAGCTTCAAGGTGCCGTCCGACGCGCACATCTGGCCGCCCGAGACGTGGAACCTCAAGCTCGGGCACGCTGTGCACAACATTCGCCAGAACGCCGACGAGATGGCGCCGGAGCGCAAGGCGCAGCTCATGGAGCTCGGGTTTGTGTGGGACTACCTCGAGCTCAGCTGGGAGGCCAAGGTGACTGCGCTCCGCGCGTACAAGACCATACACGGCCACCTCAATGTCCCGTACGGCTTTATCGTGCCCAAGCATGGTGCGGACTGGCCCAAGGACGCGGGTGGCATGAAGCTCGGCCACGCGGTGCACAACATCCGCCAAAACACCAAAGAGCTCTCGCAGGCTCGCAAGGACCAGCTCAACGCGATCGGGTTTGTGTGGCACTCGGTGACGCTGAGCTGGGACATGAAGCTCCTCGCGCTCCAAGTGTACTTTCGCCGGTTTGGCAATCTGCATGTACCCGAGACGTTCCGCGTCCCAAAGGACGATTTCGAGTGGCCAAAGAAGACATGGCACATGCGCCTCGCGGACCTCATCACGGACCTCCAGCGCAACCGGTCGCTCTTGACGCCCAAGCAGCTGGACGCGCTCGATACACTCGACTTTGCGTGGCCAACGACCGACGACGATGAGGATGACGACGACGACGAGATGGATGACGCGGCTAGCAGCGAAGGCGACGAGTGCTTCGAGACGCTCTCTATTTGCGACGGGTTTCCGCTCGTAAAGCGCCTCCGCCACCTTCACGTCAACGCGGCGTAAACCTCGACGACTTATTTAATGACGAGACATGGTATTTTGCATCCTTTTTACACTTCTACAGTGCCGTTGAATGAAAAAGTCCTGACGTGTTATGCGCTGGAAGCGCCCCATCGACGCAGCTGACGTCGCTCACGCTGCTGAAAGGGATACAAAAGACCTCCAGAAGCCTACTTGACGACCGCCGACACAGAGGACAGCTGCGAGCTCGGGTGTTGTTATGAGCGATTGCACGGACATTGGTGCAGGACGCAGTCCGCTGGACGTAGTACCATGACGGAGCATTTGTTGTTTGAGAGTGATCGTCCGTTGCATGAAACAAACCCTGAATGCGAGGATTGTGTCGCCACGACCCAGCTTGATTACGTACTGCGAACGTTCGAACTTCGAGTCTAGCGGTGGCATTGAACGCCTTGATAATGGGTCCATGGCGAAACACGATGCGCTGCGAAAGAGCTTTGGTCGCCAATTCTTGTGTTCAGAGCTCGCAACATGAACGCAGTACAAAATGCGGATGCGACAACGGAGTCGCGCTCGTACGCGACGCATCCCGGAGGTTGTGTTGTCGTAACTACAGTGCACATTATCGACAAGACAACACAACCAGAATTGATTCGGTTGGACCAGCCTGATACTCAGTGCCAGTCCAAACGTTTTACTGCTCGCGAGCTTTGCCCATAAAGAAGTGCTTTAAACAACGACACGGTGTTGCTGCGAGTTGAAGACCACATCTATACAAGACTGGACCAAATAGTGGCTTTATGTTTCAGCATGCTAACGTCGTGGCACTCACGTCAGGCGTTGAAAAAGCGAGAGAGGTTTGATGTGAAACAACATGAATTGACAGTGTGAAGGAATATATCGAAACAACTACTGTATGTGATCACGTAGATGCGCAGATCGTGCAAGCAAGCTTAAAAGAGGTATGTAGCAACGCCCGCAAGGGCAGCGACGCTGGCCGACAAGGCCAAGACCCCACTCGCAGCGCTGGTTTGTTGGTTGGCAGCGTACGCTGGTTGCGTCGTGGCTGGCGTTGCCGTTGGCACAGAGCTTGCCGGCGTTGGGACCGGGTTCGGCTGGGGTGTCGACAACGCAGGCGTTGGGACCGGGTTGGGCTGGTTGCAGCTGGTGGTGCGGCGATGGCACTGAGCGATACCAGGTCCCATCCATTCGCACGTGTAGCCTGCGGAGCATGCCTTGGTGTCCATGGTGCCATCGCGCGCGACGCACGATTTGCCGTGGGCGGTCGAGTCGGTGGGTACACACTGCGAGTACTGCGGCGAAAGGATTTGGCACATCGAGCCTGCGGGGCACGTTGTCAGGCCACTGTAGCCAATCCCGCCGCACTGCGAAAACCAGTCGCGGCATCCGTCGCACACGTACTTCCACTGGCAAGTGCCGCCAGACGGCGTCGGCGTCCCCGGGCTCACGGTCGTGACTGTCGGTGAAATAGTAAACGGTGGAATCGGCGTCAAAATCGGGTTCGGCGTGGGGTACCCCGGCGTTGATGGCGACGGAGTCGAAACGCCAGGCACAGTCGGAAGTGGCGGGTACACGGGGGTCGGACCGGGCTTGGGCGACGGCGTCGTTGTAGCCGGCGTTGGCCCCGGGGCAGGGGGCGATGGACCCGGTGCGGTAGGCTTCGGCGACGGGTTACTGGGCGTCGGACCCGGCACTGTTGGGCTTGGCGTCGGGTTGGGCTGCGGCGGGAAGCTTGGCGTCGGTTGAGGCTGTGTAGGAGCCGGATACGTCGGAATCGGGGGCATCGGCGAGCAAGGCGTTTGCGTGGGCGATACTGTCGGCACGGGCTGAGTTGGGGTCGGAGGCGTTGGCGACCAAGTTGTTTGCGTCGGTGTCGGTGTCGGGGGCTTGGTCACCGGTATCGTCGTGGTCGGCGTCGGCGTCTGACTTGGCGCGGGAGTCGTCGGGTACGGAGTTGGAGGAGTTTGCGTTGTCGTTGGAGTCGGCGACGGTGTTTGCGTCGACACAGGCTGTGTCGTGACCGGAGGCGTCGGCGACCAAGTTGTTTGCGTCGGTGTCGGTGTCGGGGGCTTGGTCACCGGCATCGTCGTTGTCGGCGTCGGTGTCTGGCTTGGCGCGGGAGTCGTCGGGTACGGAGCTGGAGGCGTTTGCGTTGGCGTCGGCGATGGCGTTTGGGTTGGCACCGGCGTCGGAGTCGATGAAGGCGTTGAGGTTGGCGTCGGAGGGCTCGGTGTTTGCGTCGGACGTGGTGTCCAAGTCGGAACAGGCGGCAAAGGCGGTTGCGTCGTCGTTGTCCATGGCGTTGTTGTCGGGCACGGTGTCTTTGTTGGGCACGGAGTCTTCGTCGGGCATGGCTTGCTGGTAGAAGGAGCCGTAGGGCACGGAGGAAACGACGTCGTCGGGCACGGTGCAGTGGTGCGCGAAGGGCAAGGCGTGCGAGTCGGCTCATCGGGGCACGGTGCTCGCGTCCACGGTGCCGGTGGCTGCGTCGGCTCATCCGGACAAGGCGCACGCGTCCAAGGCGTCGGTGGTCGGGTCGGTCCATCCGGGCACGGCACGGGGTTGCGTCCCCCGTTGTTCCAGCCGTTCTCGGGACCGACGGCTGGAGTGCTGTGGAGCCGGTTGTTGTCGTCCCAAACTTGGGCATTGTTGTTGTTGTTGATCGTTGGGTTTTGAGCTTGAAAATTGCCCCACTGGTTGGTGTTCCAGTTGTCAAAGTTGCCATTGTTGGCCTCGAGCGCAGCGACGTCGCCCGGGTACAACGTCAGCGCAATGCCGAGCAAAAGCGCAGTCGGGGCCAGCATGATGCGGAAAGGGTCGCAACGAAGAAAGTTGGAAAATGACCATCACGGAGACTCTAGTCGTGTTAGCACTCTAGCTAGTCCGCTGTATACCGCCTTCGACGACAAGATCCAGTATACCGGTACAGCAGGCAGACTCGATCTCCTTGACATTTGAGAGTTTTTGCTCACCAGCTGGACGTCGTCTCGTGGAACGGCGTTCGTCCGTCTTTCCTGCTTGCACCGGCTGCCACGTGTTTTGTCGGAGTGTAGGTCACCGCAATTGTTTATTGAATACTTGAAATCTGTATGGAATAAAATAGATCCCCTCTGGGTCGCCTCGAAATGGAGGGCAGTGGCGATCATGGCGATCATCCTGGCGACGGATAACAAACAAACTACTAGTACGCGATATTTACACAAAAAAATTGAGCAGTGTACATTGTGTGCGTTTCGATGCTAAGCGTAGGCTTGTCATAAGAATCAAAAGCAGTTCCCAATATGCCGAGCGAATTTCGACATGGACGCTCTCGGAGGAATACGTCCCAAACTAAGATTGCAGCCATCAGCAATACTTCGAGATTCTTATAGTACTACTGTACAGTGCAGCGTGAACTCCGATATCACTTCGATGATACAATTGCTCGATGTGACGTTCGGCAGTGCATGCGGACCGGACCCCAAGTGAGGCAACATCCGGATGGAACTATAAAGAACGTGACCCAGTTGGTTCCAAAAGTCGGATACAAGGTCCAAGTTGCGAGCAGTGACAGCGCGCATCTCTCGAACCGCTCCATGGAATTCATCGTGGTCGTGGTTTGCGACGAATGTCCCGCGCGTGCTACGTGTACGTAGTATGCAAGTTTTGAGAAATTAAATCTGCGTTGCTCAAACTCCTTTGCGATGAATGGCACAATGAAGTTATGTTTTTACGTAAAAGGTTTGTTGACACACGAGAAGCACACACACTAGTGCGCGGGCGATGGGGCCGCAGGCGACATTACGGGTGTGTCCGAGGCCACTCCATCCGCGTTCGGGTTGGCAGCATGAAAGTTGGACCACTGGTTGGGGTCATAAATCGAGGGGTCGACATCGCCCACCGGCTTCGGCGCCTCGGAGCCATCGTCGTCGGCGTTGGGGTTTGCAGCATGGAAGTTGGACCACTGGCTGGGGTCAAAAATCCAGGGGTCGACATCGTTCACTTTGTTTGCGACGCTGGTCTCGGCGTGCGCATCTTGAGGGGCGAGCGCAATGGCAATGGCGAGGAGGAGAGCGATCGGGGCCATCATGATGCTTGTGCTTTCTTTGAAGTTGGCAAAATCGGAAATGATGTCAAGCTGCACGCGGGATGCATGCTTTCATGCCATAAGCGTAGACAGTGCAGCTGCTTTCCGTCAATTGTCGAAAGCTTGCCTGCTTTCATCTGCATCTGGTCGCCTAAGCCTCTGGTCATTCTCTGGTATTTCTGGTCGGAGGCTGCTACCAGAAGTCGGGGCAACGAGAGGCAGTGCAGGGCGAGAACTTTGCAATAGTGGGATTCAAGATGACCATCAAATCTTGATGGAACGGCTTGATGGAAAAACAATTCGCCAATTTTTGTCCAATCAGAAGTGCCGAAAAAAAGGGTGACGCCAAGTACATTTCCATCAAAAAAGATCAGCTTGAACCCCACTTTGATGACCGATGATGATACAGCGCGTGCCGCCGACGATCCCGCGTCCTGCCTCACCCCGTGCTTCGGCGTCTGAGCGCACAACGGCTAGCGTTCGCATGCCGGGTCTACCCTTTACCACGACCAGCCGCGCTCCCAGCCAAGGCAAACGTAGGGTCTTTGTTTCGACCTCTCCGTCGAAGCGCGTCAAGAGCAAGGACGTCATGGCCGCGCTCTCGAGCTTGACTGGCGATCCTTCCGCCATCGAGAAGGGTCGCTTAGTCGCCGAGGAAAGACGCCTCGACCTGGAGACTGAGCGCGTAGCTATGGAGAAAGCGCGTTTAGCGATGGAGACGACTCTCGCGGATGCCAAGCTCGTGCACGCAAAGTTTGCGGCCATTGAGATGATGGCCCAAGCCCGGGAGGCCTTGAAGAAGGCAGGCGCTACCCAAGAAGAAATCGATATGGTTGCGCCGCTCACTATGGAGATTTAATCGCCAATAAGATGGCATGCGACTCTGACACCCGTTTGACCCGTTTTTCCATCAAACGTTCCATCAGCCTTTTTGTTGATGGAGCATTTGGCGTTCTGAGTGATGAAAGTAGCCAGTTCGTAGTTTTGATGGTTGATGGAGCTTGATGGAACTTTTGAATTTTGCAGGAGTTTTAGCCAATGAGATCGCTGGATTGGACCCGTTCGTCATTCCATCAAGGTTTGATGGCCAACTAGAACCCTGACTAGAACCCCACTAATGAAAGAATGTGCATACCTGGAGCTATACCTGGCGTCCCAAGTACACCAGCAGCTGCTCTCCTCTAGTCTCATTATACGAGCTGCACTGTACTCATGCAGAATCCATGCATGAACCTACG